AGGGGGTAAGAACTAGTTAGGGGGAGGGCCACTATCTTCTACAGTCAAGATGAAACAATTGGTAACTCTCTCAGCCTCATACGGAAACCTAGGCATACAAATAACAGAAACAAAAGCAGCTCAAAAGAACTCCCCACATAGATGAGGGGGCATTGTGTTGCAGCCTGAGTGTTTGCCTGGTCTATAGAGAAGCATAAATGAGCTACGCCTGGTGCTAACTGGAACCTGATTGGACCAGCATTCTACATGTGCAATTTATCAAGATCACTTTGTGAGATCTGTTTTCACTTTTCCTGTTAATCAGTGTCAAAAAAGACACATAAAATCTACTTTGGTTCAATTATGTACAATAATAAAACTTCTTCTAATCTCAGACAAAACAATGTGTAACTTTTTCAGACAACCAACACACCAAGTTCCATCTGTGTCTGCCTTGTGATCTTCAGATTACCACAACAAGCTGTGCGTCCCTAAATAAGAGGTATATGTTCATCCTTTGTAGATAAAGCAAAGGGTGCTGATTTGATTTGAGGATAAACCCCCTGAGATGCACCATCTTGTTTGCAAGAGGGTCCTCAGACACACAAGCATGGAAATGAACAGACATTTAAACAAAAAAAAAAAAACATAAATAATAATTAAGATAATAAATGAAACAACCAATCGAAATGACACAAAACAAACTCATGACAAGAAGCCATCATTCTGAGTGAGCAAATTATTCCAGTCCTTAAAACTTAGAAATATGTCTCCAAATTTCATTACAAATTCTAGGCACAGTAAGAAAAAGGTGTTCAGTGTTGATCTAACTGGAACGAAATGCTGTTTTAAGTAAAAAGGATAGTTAAAGTAAATGCATTTAAAAGCAAAGACCAACCAGTTAAGTGCATCAGACATGAAACAATGATGCGTGCGATAAAGATCTCAATACAAATCTACAGATATTAATGTAAGCTGCTATTAGTGTAATCATTATAAAACCTTAATCTTGCAGAACTGCATAAGATAATAAAAGCATTTCAGTAAAGTAACATTTATTTAATCTCGGGAAAAGGCTATGCTTATTATCTTAATGTATGATCCTCAGAAGTGTTAGTGTCTGTATGGTAAATAAACTAATTCCTATTTTGTAATAAAAACCAACTGCAAGAGGTCACAGGCGAGGGAGCACCAAGGATCTCTATCATCCTATTGCTCTCACAGCTAGTATCCAATCACAAGAGCACGTCAAAGCAATGAGTACTAGCCAATCACAGCACAGTAGGGTGGGAACTAACACAAACTGGGTTGGGAAAGCTAGTTTTCATCAGTGTCTTGTCTGGCTTTGGCTGCCTCTCTCGGGTCCACTTTCTTCAAGTGACAGGACAGGATTTGTTTTTCTTTCAGGGACAGGTCTGGCATGGGGTGACTTCAACAGGTTAAGTCGTTCACCAGCAACATCTGCAGGCTTGGTATTCATGCAGTATGATTGCTGTCACTGCGAACGCTCCGGCTTCCTTCAGCAAGTTCACAGCACTCATCTTCATCATCTAGGCTAAGTGGCCTAACAGCAGTGACAGGAAGGTACTTGCTTTCCCAGTATCTATCAACCATGCCCACTTGGGCTCCCAAGCACTGACCGCTTTGGTGAGACAATTGGTGAGAGCTTTGCTTCCAATGAGCTTGGCATCATTGCAACATTGTGTCCAAATGTCCAAAGTTGGTTAATAAATGATCTAGAGGGTGTGATGGACAGAAAGACAGGGGCGGGTCAGTTTAATCACACTATGTGTATAAAAGATCTGACTGCCTGTATCAACGACTGCAGACTAACTCAAGTCTGTTGTTCAATAAAGACTTTGAAGAGCTTCGTCTGTCTCTTGCAAAGATTCTTTTGTCAATTCGTGAAAACAAGGAATTATACGACATGTACAGTCAGGACTATCCTGTTCAGCACACTTGTCACAGCCATATGATTTCTCTCTTGCCTTCCCAGGAGTGACAGACTTATTCTGACTTTTGTGTCTGTATCGACCGTAGGGGTGATTTACACTGGGGACGCTGGGGACATGTCCCCACCACTTTTTGAAATTGCTGATTTTATCCCCACCACTTTTTAAAGCATAATTTGTTAAACGTTCAGAAATATAGCTTGCAGTTAGTAACAAATGAAAAGGCCTTTAAAAAGGTTTATTTGCACATTCAGATAACATGCAATGCAAACAAAACATAGAAGAAACAAATGTGCATTGTCCAAGAAAAGTAACTTAAGCTAAAAAAAAAGAAGCTACTGTAAAATGACCCAAACACGAGCATGCACCAATCGGTAACTTTAACAACTCTTGATAGTATTTGTTTGGCCAAATTTTCCGTTCTCTCCCTTTGAACATGACAAAAGAGGAGGGAAGACTAAATCATGCCTACAGATGTTTTGCCTCAGCAGGGATGATATTACATGAGAAAAGTTCTGAAACAGATCTGAAAGCAGCACAGAATGTCTGAGATCTGCACTGACTTATATTCTGTTATATTTATATATTTTGAAATGTCAAGTACCACCTGAATTTTGTGTTTCCTTTACATAAATAAATACGTTTCCACCATAAATTAGTGCAGAAACTTTCATCAGAATGCAGGAAATGAAGTGTTTAAAGATCAAAATTTCCTGCTTTTCCCTGCTCATATAGCTCTGCATTGAGGATATCTTTAAAACACGTTGAAGGATATCTTTGTCTCGTTCTTGTGAACCTAATATCGTGTATTGTACTGTCTCGCGAGCTAAGTGTCTCTTCACACCACTAATCTGAGCCACTATGTCCCCATCACTTTTCTACACAAAGTGACGCCCTTGGTATACACTGACCTGTAATAAACGCCATTGTGGCTGAAGACGCGTCTTGTTAGCAGAGGCCTTTTGTTGTCACCTGCTGCAGTATCATCTTTCATCATGACCTACTGTATATATCAACACCAAAGAAGAATATCTTCCTCAGTCTCAGATGAACATCATCAGATTCAGTCCACTTCTGCCACAGTCTGGAATGTTAGCACATATTAGCAAGTCTTGACGATCTCTTCTGTTGGATCTTGCTCCAACTTGGACACCAGCAGACATTGTGCATCAGTGAAGTCCAATCCAAAAAGTGTGAAAGCGATCCTGAGTGTTTGAGCTTGTTTGCTGGAAATGGCTGCCTATGGTCTTATATAGGGGTTCAGCCATAGTTTGGCGTGGCCCTGTTGGAGAGGTCAGTTTTGACCTTATAATCCCAGATATCCCTCATCTTTACAAAGAGAACATATCAATAGTTCTAATATCAGACTCTCTACTCCAGCCAATGATCGTGCAGCATGGACCACTAATTATAGTCTCTGAGTCAGCTGATTGGTTTGTAAGAGGAACAATGTAAAAAAGGGACAGAGAAAAATAATTCTAAATAGTGTAAGCATGAAAATAGTGGGGGGACTTCTGTTAAGCTTTATTTGTTGTGCTGCTGGCAATCTTTTGTGTTGTTATCGGAAGGAATGAGTAAGTTCCAGGATTAATGTCGGTGGTCAACACCGACATTACAGATTCTGATTCAACCATCTAAATCCTCCTCTTCACTAAAGAAACATCAAAATGTTACCTGATGTTTTAGTTTCTCCTCTCAAGCTAAACCATGACAGTAAAAAGCAACTTTCTTAATAAAATCTTTTATAGTGAACAAGTGAGTGAGTTCAGCTTCTAAATAATTAGCTGTGCTCATGCGGCAGAGAAAGCTCAGAAAAGGCTGTATTTCTTAAAGGGACTATATGTAGTTTGTCAATAAAATCACTTATTAATAGATCACATTTTTACTGCCTTTTCTGTCAGTGGGCTGTGGCCTCACTTAGAAATGAACAACACCTGAGTTCACTGTTGCTTGGAACAGCCACTATTCTGCTTTTACAGTTTTTCTCAAATGCTAAAACACAAAAGCCAATCCTCTAAACCAAATGACCAGTTGTCTAAACACATTTACTAAATCTAGCCATCATTTTCCAATATCATAAACACATTTCACATGAAGACACAATTCACAAAACACAATCCTCCGTTCACATAAATCTTAAAACATTTTTCCTTGCTAAAACACAAGTTGCAAAAGAACTCTGCTCATATTCTCAAATGAAAGCTCATGTGATGCAAAATGCTTGCCACAGTCAGCAATATTTGAACAAAATGAACACACCTGGCGTCATTCATTACACACAACGATTCAAAATTGAAAACACCTGTTGCTAATGCTGTGACCACATGTATAAAAGCAAGTTCAGAGTGCACAGTTTGCTGAAGATTTCAAACAAACACAATGGATGAAGGCAGAGTCAGGGGAAGAGGTAATCGAGTCAGAGGAGGGAGAAGAGCTGGCCAAGGAGGAAGAGGAGCAGGCCAAGGAGGAAGAGGAGCAGGCCAGGGAGGAAGAGGAGCAGGCCAGGGAGCAGGCCAGGGAGGAAGAGGAGCAGGCCAGGGAGGAAGAGGAGCAGGCCAGGGAGCAGGCCAGGGAGGAAGAGGAGCAGGCCAAGGAATAAGAGGAGGAGGCCAACAAGGGAGAGGAGAAGGTCCAGGAGGGAGAGCAAGACAACCTCGCACCATCATTACGGACGAGATGCGAGCAACAGTCATTGACCATGTCATTGTCCATGGCATGACAATGGCTGAAGCAGGACTAAGAGTCCGTCCAAACCTGAGTAGGTTCACCGTGGCCACCATTATCAGGGCATTCACACAACACAACAGGTATTGTACTCTATTGCTTTCTTTGTCACAATACAATTTTACAAGCCTGTGAAAGTAGTCTATTAGTTTCAAATCAGTTGTTACTGTATTGTAAAACATGTCAATTGACAACACGTTTCTTTCTTTAGAGTTGAAAGAATGCCACATAGAGGTGGGAGGGTTGCCATATTTACAGCGGCACAAGAAACCCTCATTGTGGATATGGTTCGTGAGAACAACCTCATCAGACTCCGGGAGATCAGAGACAAAGTCATTGCGATAATGTGAACTTTGAGGGCATTGATGATGTCAGCTTGGCCACAATAGACCGAGTTCTCCGGCGCCAAAAGATGCGGATGAAACAAGTCTATAGGGTTCCCTTTGAGCGAAACTCTGCACGACACAAAGACCTACATTACGAGTATGTGCAAGTAAGTATACATCCATGTTCACAGTACAGTTAGTGAACATACTGTGTTGCTCAGTGGCCTACATTACTTCTGGACAATACTATGCTACCTGACTGACTGTTCTGAACACCTGTGCACTTTCACATTTTCACAGAGGATATTACAGTTGGACGCGATGGCCAGACCTCATGAGTACCTCTTCCTGGATGAGGCTGGCTTCAACCTGCAGAAACGAAGGCAAAGAGCCATCACTGAGGTTCCTGGCCAACGGGGGGGTAATATTACTCTTTGTGCGGCCATGGGTTTGGAGGGGCTTGTCCACCAGCAGGCTGTCCTTGGGTCTTACAACACCCAACGTCTCCTAACCTTCCTAGAGGAGCTAAAAGATATCCTCCTGGACCGCCAACAACACCATCCATCATTTGGGACAATGTACACTTCCACAGAACAAACCAAATCAGAGTGGTTCACCACCAACAGTAACCACTTTTTAAACGTCTGTCTGCCACCCTACTCCCCTTTCCTGAACCCTATAGAGGAGTTCTTCTCATCGTGGAGATGGAAGGTTTATGACAGACAACCATACACTAGAGAGAACCTCCTAAGGGCAATGGAGCTGGCGTGTGTTGACATCCCAGTGGAGAACTTCCAAGGATGGATCCGCCATTCCAGGGCGTTTTTCCCGCGGTGCCTGGCAAGAGACAATATAGCCTGCGATATGGATGAGGTGATGTGGCCCGATGCAGCTCAGCGACATGATGCCGCACAGTGATTGTGGTGTAAATAAAATAAATTAAAAAACTTCACACCCTGATCATGTTTTCAAGAGTACTGTTGTGTGCAATAGATTCTGTTTTTGCATTGAGTTGTTACAGTAGTGTACAGAATTTACTATAGATTTATACTCTTCATATGAAACTCACAAATCTAAATGCCCAATCCTCTGCAGAGATCTAAGAAGATCCATTATTGTAAAGTTTCTAAATATGCATTGGCAGTTATGAAACAAAGAACCTTCTCACAAATTGAGCATTGTCTTCAATTGTTTTGCTGTAGTGTGTAATGATGTGTATAGTGTTTACATTTTTGAAAGCTTCGAGCTGCTCTTTTGGTGTGAAAGTTTGAGTTTTGAAGGGAGAAGGTGTGGTTGTGTTTATGTAGCTTTAGAAAAGGGTGTTGTGTTTAGACATTGGAGAACATGGACAAAACGTTTGTGAAATGTGTTTTAGCATTTGAGAAAAACTGTAATGTATCGGGTCGGGATGTAGCTACATGTGCGCTCCCGAGCCTCTCTCAGAGTACAGCAACACCACAGCTAATGAAATGCAGTCAACTAACGCCACAAAACAAACCGGCTCCCAGCACAACACAGACTCCAATTTAAACTCCACGTAAAGATACAAAACAACAATAAATGTTTGTGATGAAGCCTGTCAGGCCAGACTACATTCAGATGTCGTCTGCATGAGAAAAAGCTAATGTAGCTTATACTGATGTAGGGCGGTGACAGCTAGCTAACGTACGTGAGAACGGCTCTAATGTTTGCTTCGTAACGTTCAATTAAGATTTATTGTAAAATGTAACTGTCAACTTTTACAGAAAATAAAAAAAGCTCTAAAATTTCTGGCTTGGTCCTTAGTTTACAACAGCTGAGTGCTGACTTAATCGTGCTTCTTTGGTTTCAAAAACAATGACTTCAGTTTTATCTTTGTTTAATTGAAGGCAATACTGGCGCATCCAATTGTTGACTTGTTAAATGCACTTGCTCAGTGCTTGTATGGGATCATAGTCCTGGTGATATGACTATGTAAATCTTTGTGTTGTCTGCATAATTATATATTTTGTTGATTTTCATTATCTGAGCCAGACTGACTGTAACCTCTTCTTAAAAACGGGTGGTTTGATATGGGCCTATAATTGGTGATGTGTCTAGATTAGTCTTTTTTAAAGAGTGGCTTGATGACTGCAGTTTTCAGGGCCCGTAGGAAGGCACATGAGCGAAGAGATGTGTTAACAATTTGTAGAAGATCTGACGCCATGCAATTAGGAAAACCCCTGTTATCAAAAGATCAAGGCAGGAGGAGGTGTTGTATTATGTCCTCCATATTGTTATAGTTGGTAGGATCAAATCGTGTCATGCTATTTCAATTGATGTTAATTGGAAGACATACAGAAGTATCCGCTGCCGTTTCACCAGACTTCAGAGCAGCTTCTTCCCTCAGACTCCTCCACTCCACCATATATTACCAAACCACTACCTTGTATAATATATAAGTGTATACACTGTTTTTATTGTTATTCTAGTATATATGTTCTGTGTGTGAAGTGTGAAGGAAGACTTTAATTTCATTGGGACGCTCTAAATTGTAGAATGACAAATATATGAAACCTGAACCTTGAAAATAAAGATTAACTGTTAACTATTAAAAAACTAAGATGAGTGCAGGAGGGTTATCGACCTTTATATTAGTTGTGTGGCAGCAGGTGCAGCCATCGAAGACTTGTAATGACTGTGTATTGCAATCATTTGCCCTGCTTGTACCTACTGCATCAGACTGGGAAAATCTTTGCAGACTGTGGACAGATCCTATTCCAATGTCTCCCATCTGTTACAGACACTCCAGAGCCAAAACAACCACATCAAAGACATCAATTTCTTCCCAAACACCATCACTCTCATGACCATTTCAATAAGCCATGCAACACCACCTGTGCATTAATCCTGCAGTACGAAAACGTTGGCTTTAAATCAGAATCTGAGATCAGTTGTCCTTTCCTTGTCATATCTTTTAACATTTAATCAGGATGTATTCCAAGACAATACAGGACAAAGGGAGCAGAGAGGAAAGACTGAAGAATTCAAATGAGAGAGAAAAAAATCCAATTTAATTATTAGACCAACTTAGTTAACACCGAAACACTGACAAACCATAGTTTAATACACATTATTAGCAGAATGTTTCCATGTTAACAAAAAAAGTCTACTCTACATTTTTAAGATTAGAAAAAGTTCTTTACAATAAATGTTTCAAACGCCATAAAGGTCAAGGTAAAGCCTCTGATGACATGGCCTGTTCCACCAATTTACTTTACAAACCAGGTCTACAGAAAGCTGGGGACAAGGACAAACCAACCTATTTATATAAGCTGAAAATAATAAGCAGTCAGTCAGCTGGCTGAAAAACCTCACTAAAGATGCAAGTTAGTCTTCTGGTGTCCAGCTCTTACAAAAATGACTTTCACAGGTGAAGAGATGTATTTATTCCTGATTTGGCAATAACGTGGTGTGCACTGTTGGGCTGTGAGGGACGATGACTTGACCAAGTGATGAGATTTCTGGCTGTTCAATCTCCAGTCGGTATTGAGCTTCATTAAAAGCTTTTGCTTTTGTTTAGTTTTTAACACTTGGTTACACACATTTCTCAATATTGTGTTCATTTTTCAAAAGCACAACTGCAGTCAGTGTGTAATTAACACAAAATGCACTTAATTAAAGCGACCTCTTTCAAATTTTACAAATAACCCAACTGTCACCAAATCTGTGCATTTACAGTCCATTTTGCAGGTTTACGTAATATTTGGAAAAACTAAAATTTATTACATACATAACACATTATTGTAAATTAGAATGCAATTTACTACATAAAATTCGCAAAACATTAAAATTAAAACTAAAAATTCATTTTATTCCTAGATGAATGAGGCAAGAGGGGACATAAGGTGTGAACTCAAATGTAAGTCGCTTTGGATAAAAGCCAAATGAGTAACTGTAAATGTGATCTGGATGAGACCTTGTGGTCAAATACAGAACGGTACTGCTGTATATCTATATATGTGGCTGCCCTACACATGTATTTATAATGAATATATATATTTGCTTTACTTGCTTACTGGAATTACTTGTGTTTATGAAAATAAAGCTAACTGAAGCATGCTGCAGCATTTCGGATTCATGTCTGAAACATAGTGTAAGGTAGCACAACCCATGCAGGAAAGAGGTGTCTTATTGGTTTATGCAACAAAAGAAAACAAAAAAATTAAGACAACAGTGATACATGCTGTAACGCTACAGATTTTTTTTAGGTCATTGCGTTCTGAGTGAAAGATTTTGGAAACATGGTTTTCCTTGTGTTTTGGTTTGGTTTTTTTAAATGAGCTCAGTATAGAGAAATGCATGTAACCAAAAAAAAAAAAACACTTGTTTAAAATATACAAGTCCTTAGTTTGCATCATCTGCTAGGTCATTGAGAGAAATGAAATTACTACAGGATTCCACTACTTGTATACCACTAGCCTGGGGATAACCTTGTATTTTTGCAGCAAAGTGTTTTTTTTTTTTGTTGTTTTTTTAATCAGTCTTTTTAAAAAGCTGAGCCAACATGATATTCATGTTTTCTGCGCTAAATGTAAGCCTAATGGGTATTTAACTACTGCCTGCTGGTAAGATTTGTTGGCCCTAGCTGAAGAATTACAGCTCCCATGAGTCTTAAGCTAAACTAAAGACTCACACAAAGCATTTGTGTGTGCTTTGTGTGATGGCATGGCACGCTGACTGGAGCATGATTAAATTTCTTGCTCTCAGCACACACTGAACACATCATGCAGACAAAATGAGTGGCTGAGAAGAAGCTCTCTCAGGAGCGAGTACGTTAACATTGCAGCTTGTTTGGAGCGAGAATACAAGTTGTTGCTGGGAAACAGGACAAGGATGTATCCTGACACATCAACATGCCCCTAGCGCCAAAGTGGGACTGGACTTTCTGGCTTTCTGATAGATCAGAATGTAATACTTTCTCTGAAATAGGTTCATATTGCCCTGCACTGTGCACAAGCGGTCAAACTATGACTTCCAAAACGTCAGACTTCATCAGTTCATCCCGGAAACTCAGAAATGATAACTGTTCCACAATACTTTGAGAAAAGTGGGAACGACAAAGCACTCACAAGTTGTCACCTTCAAATTTTAAACAAAAGGAGCGGCTGCAGTTGGAGTAGCCTTTAGAAAGGAACAGCCATATAGACCCATTTAGACATAAACTGTGTAGAAATGTGCACGTAGACACATTTTTTAGACACAACGTGCGACTGCAGATTGCTAAAGCTTCTTCAGAGATGCGTTGCACAAAAATCACATTTAAAATAGTAACACCGGCATATTCCACACCTGTGCACACATTTAATATCACCAGTGAGAGGAAGTAGCCGTCAAGAAGCACACCCTCACAGTTTTATTTGTAGGACTATAATTCTGCAAACAGTGTGCACGGATTTTGAAACAAACCTAAAATGCATGACATGACCGCTGACACAGTCTGTGGACAGTCCAACGCCAATAGCTCACTGCACTCTGTGAAGGTAGCATGGTATAAACTAACCTTTCTGTGTGTCACATATTGGGAAGAGGCGTGTACAGTTATGATTCATTTCATTCAGATTATATGCAGATAGATACTGTATGTACAAAATTACAACCCAGTGTACACATGCTCTCGTCGGCCGGAGGCCTCTCTGCACGAGGAGGTGAATGTTCAGGTTGTAATTCTCCGTTCAGTTTGACAGTGCTGAATGCTCCAAAGGTTGATGGGAGAACGTAACCTCATGTATAGTCCGTTGTGCTTTTGTATCCTTCAGTCCACTTTGACCACACTGTAGATCTTTGTAACAAACCAGAAACAGGCAAAGAAGCCGATAGTACCTGAGGACAGAGAAAATAGACATTTTAATTACAGCTTCACTAAATAAAGGTTTTCTTGACCCACTGCACCAAATCACCATGATATACTGTATACAGTCCCTTCTAAAAGTATTGCAACGGTGAGGGTGATATGTCCTGAGTTGTTTAACACATCTGGATGTGAATACCAGGAAATGAAAGCTGAAATTCTGAACTCTTGTCTCGTACTCTTCTTTTGATCTTAAACCCAAATGTCTTCAGTGAACAACAAAAACAAAGAAATTTGCCTCAACGTTTCCCCCTATTTTAACCTGGGGCCAGATGCATAACACTCACAGCTAAAACTGTGTACACACAACTGTTTTATAAATCACTGTGGAACTGGATGCACGTGCACAAGACCCATTTCCACTCCCACAGCTCGCAATAAATGGATGCAGAAATGCTCTTAATCATGCATTTGCATATTGAAGTGCAGTTTGGCTCTCTTGCATCAGCGAGGTTCTCCAACAGCGGTGAAGATCAGGTGTAATTATTAAACGTGAGAAAGATGAATCAACGACACATTTTATAACGCACATATTGAAACAGACTTCACAATTGAGAATAAAATGAAAAGATCGTTAACACAGGGAAATAATGGCTCAAATGTGAATTTAAAAAATAATACAATTCATCACAATTTTTTAAATATTTATAATAAATACATAATTTACATAATTGTAATTAAACTTAAAGTTTATAAAAGGTGTCTTTGATTGAAATTGTTTTGCAAAAATTGAAAAAACTATAAGACAATGAGTGAAACAAACAACTTTAACAATATTTTACTGTTTTCGATTACGTCCGTATATATTTAATCTCCTCCTTATCATATCACCTTCAGCGGCTCTAGAAAGTCTAGTGTATGCTGGTCTGAAGGCGCACACATTCTCACTGCATGTTCTTCCTTTATAAACACCAGTTTATGTGTAGGGCACATGCATGGTTTTTGTGCGTAAACACTGTTTATACATCTGGACCCTGGAATAAGGAATTTACATCAGAGGTAAAAGTTAAAGGTGCACAACTCAATATTTTTATATCAACAACGTCTCAGTTGATTATGTATAAAGTGAAAGGTGTCGTTTGAAGTGATGACCCCACAGAATATTATTACCAAATCTGCACGTCTCCTCAGCTTTACAGAACTTTTTAGTATTTTTGTTTTGTTTTTCAGTTAAAAGGCTCAGATAAACCCAACAGCAGAGAGAGAAACATGTGGGGAGTGCAGCATTTAGCAACTTAACAGCCAGATATTTTTTCTGTGTTGTTGATGTCAGTGAGATTTCAACAGATTGATTATTAGATGGGCAACTTTTGCTGACATGCTGCCAAATAACCTTCAGGGTGATTATATGTCACTGTTGTGTTTACAGCTTGTTGCGCTGCACCCAAGTGACCACAACAACATCAAAACTGTTAACGTGAGTGAGATTAACGTATTTTTCTCATGGACGTTGAGAGTTTAGGTGGTGCAGGGCTACGGTTGGGGAGAACTTTCCTTTTAACCTAAAAATTGCATAAGTACAATGCATGAGACAGATGACAGCCATGATGATCCAGAATGGAAAAATACATCAACCATCACCTCTCCTGACTTTTTTATATACCTACCAGTGAATAAGAAAAAGATGAGAACCATGATCATGGTGTATCCAAAGTACAAGATGGTGCTGGCCAGTCCAGTGATTTGCAGCTTCGAGAAGAAGTAATGAACGGCATAGACCAGGAAATAGACAGCAGTGAAGCCACTGGTCAGGAAGGAACGCCACTGCCAATGGTAGTCCTGTGAAGAGGAGGAACAACGCCAGAGTTGAGTTGTCAGTTTTCAGTTTTGTAAATTTAGGCCCTCACTAAAGGGGTTAACGAGCGAGTGGCCCCTGTCATACAGAGCCTGCTTTGCAGAAACATGAATTACAGGTCAATGTTGGTGAGTGAAATCAGAACTAAATCTAAATCAATTACAAACAAATACAAACATGTCAAGAGATCGCAGACATCTCCTGTCTGAATCGCCTGCTCCTAGACCTAAAAGGTTGGAGCTCCTGTTGATGGCGCCTGCCGTGTTTCCTGGCTTTCCCTTTTTGTCCTACCTGTCCTGTGTGTTGCTCTGTTCTTTCTCCCTTTTGTCAACGATGGACTTGCAGCTCGTTCTATGATCCAAGCCATATCAGAGTGTCTATGGTGGATCACAGTGTTTTAAATCTATGGGTGAGTTCTCTACAGTCAACGTTGCCAGCGGCACGACGATCCCTGCAAGACTGCAGCACCGAAGCTCCAACAAATACTGAAGGAGGAGAGTCCGTGAAACTGAGACAGCTCTGGATTTTTAGATGCATATCGATTCTGAATATTTTAAAAGGTTTTACTACTCATACTACTCGATACAGAAAATGCACTTTCTCACCATCTTCTCGTCACTTGTATATGTAAAATAACACGAATCAACCTCGAGTGGAGCGAGTACCACTCGAGGTTGATTCGTGTTATTTTTTTCCTGCCTTTTGGTGAAGTCCCACCCTACTGTGCTGTGATTGGCTACTACTTGTCACTTGGGATTGAATGCTGGCAAAGGATATAAGCAAGCCTAAATGCAAGCGATGGTACAGAGCAGCGCTAACGAGAGGTGCTAACAAAACCAACTGAGCAAAGCGCCAGCAGGACCGACGCACAGATCTCTGTAAAGAACCTGGAGAACGTCTTCCCTCCCAACATCACTGAAGTATTAAATAAGATGGCCCAGTAAACTGTTAAGATACTTGTCCTGTTTGCCCAACAGATATTTGTAATTCTCATAACTAAGCTAATCCCCCTCAGAGCGATCAGACTTGAGGAAAGAGTTTCAGTTGATAATAAAATGCATTGACTAAGCTAAGATGTAAATTAACTGATGCTGTTCTGCCTAACTTTCACAAGTTTTGTTAATATCTTTAACTCTCACTGAATATGTGTCAAGCCCTCCACACAACATATACATTTTTTATTTACACAGGAGCTTTTTATTACTGATCACAACTGGATTTTAGTTGATTAGTCTTTTAATCTAGATTGCTTACCCTGCCGACCTGTTTTTAGCTCTCGCATCCTTAACCACCTTTCTGCTGCTTGATGTTGACTCTTGGTGCAGCTGCTTAGTAAACACTGCCTTTCAGCACTGGATCAAGTGGTCCCTATTAAAACTAGACCAGCTCCTTTGATCAGTTGCTCCCTGTGGGTAAATGACAATTTTCTCTCTGTCAAGCAAGACTGTCAGAGTCGAGTGCTTGTAGGAATCCACCTACAAGTTCACTATTTTTATTTAAAAGAACTTGAATAGCCATGTTTCCATCTAATTGTCATGCAAATGTGAAGTGTACTTTTGAAATGTAGTAATTGCGAAATATGTGTGTTTCCATCAGCTGGTTTGACGCGAATAAACCAGGCTACGGCAAGTGTAGTTACATCAGTAGCTGACGTTACACATGGTTGTAATAAACAAGACGTATGGGTTCCAAACCAGAAACAAAACCAGCTGCATGGAACTGATGGCCATTGATCTTAGAAAAATGGAGAGAGGTCCTCAGAAACGTGTTTCAAGCAGGAAAGTTGCAACCAACCATGTCTCTGCATGTTATGGGAATATCCGGCAAGACGCCGACAGCGGAAACAGCTGATCAGACGTGAGATATGAAAGATATGAAACTTTTTATTCTGATAACATTTTTGGCCATATCGTCCAGCCCCCTTATTCAGCAAAAGTTTCCATCTCCCATTTAGCGCATTTACTCTTTTTCAACAAAGGCAAAAGCCACCTCATGCGAGCGTAAAAACTTTTGCGCGAAATCTAATGCGATACTTCAAAATGCGTTGATGGAAACACGGCTACTGATTTTAAATAATTGGGTTAAGGATGCCAGAATCTGACTGTTGGCACAATCCCAAACCTTTATTTTCACACATTTCATAGTGTCGTTACTCCTGCTGTTCTGATTTTTTTCAAGTGAGGACGGCAACACCTGACTTTCATTCTTTGTTGGTAAGATTAGCGACATCAGATTAAACACTTTCCCCTCACGTTCTCCCCCATCTCCTCTCAGCCAAATTTACCTGAATTTTTTCTCCTGCCTCCAGCCTCACTCCAACATCTTGCAAATGTATGAAAACTTCCTCTAGCCCTCTTGACATCTTACCAGCATCTCTGTGTAAATATGTCTGGTTGTGTCCCTGCTTATTTCAAACAAAATTTTATTCAACCACTTCTCAAAAAAATCGAACCCTGACCCTTCTCTACCCCACAATCAGCAGCGACGGTACTTTTTTGTTTAAAACTTGTCAACATAATAGATAAGGAATATTGGGAGAAAACAGCTGCTGTTAACAACTTTGATGCAACAATGTCAGTATTAATATCATCCCTGAAGCATGAAGATGATAATGTTAAAGGTCTTGCATTGATCTGTGTGCTGTTTACCTCAGCACATAGGTGGAAGTAGCAGAGCAGGATGGTGGCCTCAGAGCAGGTGATGACCAGGATAATGAAGACCAGGAAAAGGAAGCCAAACATGTAGTACATCTGGTGGGACCTGGATGACAGGAAGAGACATGTCTGAGCCTTACAGACGAGACTACAGTAGTTTGGTCAGTCTGCCACCATGTTTGGTAAATGTAGACTCATTTAACATGTTGATAATCTCTAGTTCTGCCAAATTAATTTATTTAATTCATTCATTTATTTGGGGTTTTCACAAAATAAGAGAATTGTGCTTCTTTTTATATCTGGCTAGTTTTAATACTGGTGAATGTGTTTCAGCTTTAAGAGGTTCTAAGAGATTGTGAGTCGCATCACTATTTAAAGACTTCCCACAGCTCTGACTGAACAGGGCTGACCTTAAAAGTTCAGTCCGTAAGTTTTAGTGGCATCTAGTGGTGAGGGGCGTGAATTGCAGCCAGTTGCTCACGGTGTATTCATGCGCTCATCGGACGGTCCCATTTCCTGATTTGTTTAGTTGTTCTTCCGACTTCAGTGTGCGTTCATGTGCTCTTAAGTCAGAGTGTGGGATCAATATGGACGCTATTACAGTGATGTGTTGGATTAGTATTATCAGAGCATCTAAACAACACGCAGACATGTAGTTCACTTTACATGGACAGCAAACTAACCATTATAACCATATTACAAATTACATGTTTGGAAAATATGCACATGCAATACATGATTTTGCACAAATCAAAAGTTCTGTATACTATTTGTTGCCCTGTGTACACTTTATTTCTCTTCTTTTTTTAAGGAGGAAAAAAAGGTTCTGATTATTCCGACACAACATGAATGCACCGCCTCACCCCTCCCTTTCCGAGCAAGCCAGCAGACAGCTCTTGTGCTAAATAATCCATGTGGTCCTCCATTTGTCCACATTTATCTTCTTTTCATACCTCTAATAAACCAGTCGACTACTACTACTACCATTATTTGTTATTCTCCTTCGTATTCAACATAGTGACGAAACGCACTCTGTGGAGCAGTTTGTCCGTTTGGGCTACTGTAGAAACATGGCGGCGCAACATGCCAACTTCCATGTAAGGTGTTGTATGTAGATAGAAATGGCTCATTCTAAGGTAATAAGCTTTTTATACATTCTCACCAGATGGAGTTTAGTATGAAGAACAGCTGAATAAAAATACATCCAAAAGGCAAAATTCCACCCATGATGATCCCAGGGAAAGGCCTTGTGTAGAATGACTGCTCTGGGATTTGACGAGGAATCTGATTCGTCCGCACTGGGTGCTCAATCCCCTTAAATGAGAGAGAGAGAGAGCGCGAGAAAAAATACAGCATTGAAGAATTGTTAAAAAATGACACATGTACTTTTTTAATGTGAATTGCAGTGTAGCGTCTTTACATTCTTGGTTATTTCCGTTAATTGGTGGACTATGGACCCGACAAATCAATTAGTATTGCTGTAGTGTTATTTTATTATTTGAGCACTTGCTGTACTTGACTGATGACATTGTGACAGCAGCACACTCTTTCTGCAAACCACCACTGGCATGAAATGTATACCAACAAATACAGAATGTATTACGTATGAATGGATGTAAATTTTGTCATTTACTTACTGCCTTCTTGAAGCCAAAGTATGCTCCTATAAAGGTCAGTGGCACTGAGATACAGAACCAAAGGGCCAATATGGCTACCAGGGTCCCAAATGGCATGGCTGCTGAAGACCCTTCGCCCCACAGGATCAAGTTCATCACAAAGAAATCTGCAAATACCACCCTGAGCAGAGACAGAGAGGATGTTAGATGAAGAAGTAAATGATTGACAGAGTGGGATCAAGTGGTCGTATTTTTGTCATGCAGTAAGCGTCTGGTGTTGTGTATGTTACTATGTCTGGTGTTTGAGCCAGCGCTAACAGTCTTACCCAGGGCAGAGGAAGGCTGTCAGCAGAACGTTGGTCTTCCACTTCTCTCCTCCGAAAGCTGATAATTAACCAAACACAAAGACAAAGAAGGATTTTCAGTTCTCATTTACTGCTGATAGTCCACAGCCACAAATGCTGCAGTGTTTATTAGCAGTATGATTGTGATTATTATATGAATGAGACTTTGTGTTCTTTGTGTCCAAGTAAACAGTACGTAAAGCCTACCTGAATTTGTTCACCCAATTCCAACAAAAAAACCCACCGGTTTCTTTCTCACTTACATTTGTAGAGGCGAGCAGCCACATATCCAGCAGGGGTTCCCAGAAGGACCCAGAGAACAACAGCACAAGTCATCAGAGCCCCACGGTTTGCCGGAGAGAGGAACCCAAGACAGGCAAAGACTGGAGGAGGGGGGGGGAGTTATACATTTGAAGTTGAATAAGAATAAGTAATAACATAAAAAGTAAAACAGTTATAGAGCCCCACTGATCCTTCCAGGATTAAACCAATATCAACACTTCAAAGTGTTTAAATCTGATTATGAAATATTGGCTGATATTAGGCACTGACGGTGGACCTGAAGTGCAAAACAAAAATTCTTGCTCATGACTAGACAGAACCCAAGTCAATTCAGTGTCTAATCAAGTTTGGTCAGTGATTGGTCAGAAAGGAAACTCCCATTACTCTATTGTGGGATGCTACTGGGCCAACTGTTTTACGCCTTTGTCTTTATAGAGTTGCGAGGTGGGAGAAGCTATTTTGGGCACCCCTGATTTCGGAAGTAAAAGTCCTATTCATTTTTCCCTTAGACAATGTTACGTGACTCAGCTGGAGCACGTCTGCGGCTTGGAATCGGTATGAAACTCTCCTGGAGAACACAAGATTAACACGGCCAGTCAGCTAATCTGTGGGAGTTTCCTCCCCGTAAAGTATCACTGACCAAACGTGATTAAACTCTGATTCGATTTGAGCTCTGAACAAGAATTGTTGTTCCTACTGGTGCTGTTCTGTGCAAAGCTGCGTTTTCTGTTAATTTGTCCTGATTTGTAAGGCAGTGAAACGCGGGTGGTAGTAGCTCAGGCAGAAGGGAATTGGTTCAAAAGTCCAACATGGACAAGACTGCACAGAGTGTGGACTGGTAGCTGGGGAGGTACTCTGGCATCGCTCCACATTTAATATACATATCTCCAGGTCTGAGTGAAAAACTGAATTTGCCCCCTTGGGAAAATTGAATACTTGTCATTATTAAATATTGGTGTTTTCTTAAGCAGCACAGAGAGTGATGATGTGGATACTGACATATCTGTAATAAGCTAATATTGGCCAATAATTTCAACTTTCTATAACTTTCAAATAAATTGATTAGATAATGTGGTTAATATGGGGATTTGTTAGCAACCTCTCATCATCTGACTTTGTGCAATCTACCCCTACTGGACTCCATTACAAATTGTATCTAGCACTTAGGCTGCATACTCAGATTCGCTACTTCTGGAGTAGTCCTAAAGAAAGAGAGGCATGAGATGTTCCATGTCTTGTGACACTTTTTAAACTTAATGGGGCATTCATTATCGAGTGGATATGGCAGAAATAAAGAATGGACAGAAGAAACACATGAAAGCTGATGGCATGTCAAGAGCAGTCATGAAGAAACAAACCAGTCAGGCATCCAATAACGGTGCTAGTTTGGCATATATGACTACTAAACAATCATGAAGATAACAAAGACATACAAAGGGTGACAAAGGTCATAATGAAGATCTGCGTTCCAGAGCCGAGGAAAACAGACAGCAGCATTCCCTTCCTGGGAGGTCGGAAAACATCTCCGTGGACCAGCTTCCATCCGAACTCCTCCTGGGCATCCTCCTGGAGAACAAGATAGATGTGCAGATATGATGAGAACTGAGAACAACACAGCCCGACCTCTCACGTCCACCAGACACAGCTGTGTCATGTTCTAGTAGTGCCATGACTGCCTTGTATAAGATCAAATAAAGGTAGTTAATCATGGCTGTACATTTCCTGACCACAGCTCCAGCTAAGCTCAACAGAGTCCTATCAGCCACAGAGACAGGTACTCACCACAGAGTCCATCTGATTGTATCTGGCGATGTCTTTATGGAGAGTCCGCAGCATGATCATGGCTACCATTCCAGACAGGAACAAAACAATCACCAACGAGTTCATTATGCTGGGGAGAAAAAAAACAGCAAAGCCAGATAAGTCAGTACTTTGATGTGGATTGTCTCTGACAGACGCCAGGCCTGAGCAATGGTTTGAATGTATCATTATGACACTGTGGGGCAGACATAATGTTTGACATCAGAGGCATTTGTAAACCAAAATGATGATGACTGCTGTCTAAAATCTGCCCCAACCTAAAAGCCTGCCGCCTATAGGACAGGACTCTTGTTGGATGGTGGTGTCATGGCCAGTACTGGACAGAAAAACCCAAGTTGATTTGGGGGAGGACAGTAGGAATCCCCTGAAAGTTGCTTCACACACTGCTGTCACTTCAAATCCAGTTGAGTATACAAGACATACAAACGGCTCATACTGAGGGAATCCAGCTCAGGAGAGCCAGTAAAGACGGCCCTTGTTTCTTACGGAAATCTAGAGACATTGCTGCTTGTTTTCTCTTAGACATTGGGTCAGCAGTTACAAAACCGCCCCTGCATGCTCGCAAATCTTGACTAGCAATTTGATTACCACTTGAATTTGTGTCAACATCACTGGCAGAAAATTCATCAACATGGGCTCAACCTTCAGAACCACAGCTGGCTCTTGCAAAACATTTTTACATTTGTTCCCCATAAATCATATCTGAGCTGCACATTCCAGCACAAAGTGAATGTCATATAAATGTGTGTCAACATGTGTGTGTTTGAGCCTTACCTGAACCACTGGATGTTGGTGTGAGGCATTGACTCCAGGATGTAGTCCCATCTAGACGCCCAGCGAATATTTTTGTCTTCCTACAAAGACACACACACACACACACACACACACTAAATCAAAATGTTTGTAAGTGTAATTTGCTCTTCACAATAGGGATTGGTAATCATTAAAAAATTATTTCACATATTCACCTTGATGTTGATAAACTAACAATAATATTTAAAATCAAGGCACCTCAGCACTGAAGTCTGTACCATATGATCTGCTGAAAGATGTTTTAATTACAGACCATTAGCATTAACAGGCTCCCAGATCTCTGTTTCCATGTTAGAAGAAGTCCTGTGACTCAGGTCCTATCTGATTGGCGTCCAGATCTCCTGGATCCATTTTCTTTATATTAACTATCTATAATTCTGTCACATGATTGTCCATATTTTTATTTATCAAGTGTGATAAAAAGACAATAAATTCAACCAAAACGTTTAAAGTACCATAAAATTTCCGTAACATAGTATCAATACTACAGTCTGTAATAATGTAGCCCCAGGACCCCTTCAAACCGGGTTACTGTACCCGTCCCTATAGAGCCTAAGTCACTCGCTTCTGCTTCTGGCCCATGGGACCTTATTTCAGAATAAAATATGTACGGTAGTGAATGGTGAGAGACAACTTATTTTTTGATCCTGTTTGAACTGTGCCCTGAATAATAATCATCATAATAATTTTGTTCGTCAAGAAAGTTGCAGTTTGTTGTAAAACAGTCGTTTTGTGTGAAAACAATTTTTTTGTCTCGTACAACACGTTAACGCAGTAATACTAGTCTTATTTCACAGTCTTATACCTCAACAGTTTTCCGACAAACTGCAACTTTTTTTACTTTTACATGCACATTTTAAATTGGCCATCATCAAAAATTTGTTGTCTCCTGCCATTAACTACCGTACATATGTTCCTGAAGTAAGGTCCCATGGTGGTCCACCGGAAGGGGATGGGCTTAGGCTCTCTATAGAAGGGCTACATCAGGTTTTTCACTTTCTCTCTCTGGAGCATCAGTCCATTTTCATTTTCTAGGTCTGGTCATCTGTGGAACTTCACAAAACACAGACAGCCTTAAACCCACAAAGTTGATGTTATTGTACTGACCACAAATCTGACAGAGTAAGTGTATGGGATCTTGAACACTCCTGCTTGTTTGTTTTTCAGGAACTTTGGCCCCCCAGAGCAATCAGGGCTGTCATCATTAGGATTTTCATAGCTGGCCAGATGAAGAGAGACAGAGAGAGACATGGGAATAGATTTGAAATCAAACAATAAATGACAACGCTAAATAATACCACATGTGCTACTAGTCTGTGAAATTGGATAGATTTTATACCAGGACACAGCACCAGAGCTCTTTCAGAAGCCACAAAAAGTTCAACAATTGGCACAAATGTCAAAATAGCCCCAAACAACACACTAAGTAAAAAACCTGACATCTAAATTTTCACTAGATACCTACATATCAGCTAAAACTGTCATTCATTACCTTTTGGGTTCAATCTTTGCAGCAACCAATCGAGCTCCAAGTTGTTCGTGCTCAACGATGTGGTAATGGATGGTGATGTCCACATGGTTAAAGATGTAAAAGGCATCCTTTTCATTAAAGTTAGACTGGAAAACAAAAGCACAGCAGTTCAAAGTACAGACAGGGAAATAATGTGTTATTACAGTTACAGCTGTGCAGGATATGAACCATTCTAACTTTGGGCACTGAGACACCTGCTGGTATCAAAAAAGACACTGGGGCAGACAGTGATGCATGCTGCTCACCCCGAGAATTATGTTTTGAGTGGAGTATCCCTTTTTTGTTTTTTTAATACTACCGTGATAAATGTCACCACCCAAAATATGATATCACCCACCCCTACCATACAGTTTTAGTGATCTGATATTAGTATTATTTTGTCTTGACTGATGGGAATCCTTACATGTGTAAGGAAACATGAGAAAACAACTACACGCCCGAGTATGAGTAGGAGGCGATGTTCATACAGATATTTTAATTATGCCGTTAAAGAGGGCTTTGTTTGTGTCCATGTGTGACCTACTCACATTGACCACGCAGGCATCTTTGGGTCGGCCTGCTTCTGTGACGTAACAGCCAATAGGGAATCCAGGGTTACAGAACTTCTGTCCATCTTCGACATCATAGCACCAGGTGACCGGCATGTTATCCACAATCCTACACACACACGCGCAACACAAAACAGAAGCCTGTAATGGTCACATATCTTGCGCTTAAACAGCCAGATGAGTAAAATAACAACTCTAAAAGCCCCAGTTTACATGTCGTTGGTCAGTTATCACATTTCACTCTCTTTCTCTACCACCCGCCACATTGTCGGGAGAGTAAGAGTTTAGGCATAGAAGGCATAAGTCCCTGCTCTTCCGGTGGACCACCATGGGACCTTATATTAGTAAGAATATGCCGGGTAGTCCATGGCGAGAGATAATTTTGCAAGGCAAGAAGGTAGCAGTTTGTCGTCAAACTGTTGAATACTGTGAAAATACGTAATCAGAAAGACCACACACCCTAAAGCCGCATAATGTAATCAACTACACAACTTCCATGTGTAGACGGTGTGATGGAAGGACCAGGACACATTGGATTAAGGTGAGATACATCTGTGCGTGGAACATGGCTAAGTTACCTAGCCAGTAGTAACCAAGTGTCCCTTTTTACAGTTTTATGACAAACTGTGACTTTCTTGACTTACAGAATTAACATTAGCGACAGGGACTACTGTTCTGTCAAAACTAAATTTCCCCTGGGGACAAAGATCTTGCTCTTGACCTTTCTTGTGTTCAGACAACAATTTAACATTTGAGAACGCTGGTTACATTACAAATTACAACTTGTATTTATATTCATAACAACTTCTGTTTGGTTATAGAGGCCTACTTGATGTGTTTCCAGGAACCATTTATAGAATCCTTTACGTGGGAGTCGTGTTCTGGTGTGTATACAGTTAATTTTATATCTATGTATATGCCTGTGGTTGCATTTCACTTCACTTTATGATGTGTCTGTCAGTGAATCATACATACCAGTGATGCTGGTAGTTGAGTAACATGCCTTTCTTGAGGAATTCCAGTTTGGATTTTTCTGTTGGGTTGGTGGTGTCGTAGGTTCTGGTGCACACCTTCTGACACGCGGCGGGGTTCTTGAACTCAAACTGACACATGGGACACACAGTTAGTATCTTTACTTTTGCATTGTTAGGAGTTAATATGACCCCTTTGTCATGATGTCTAACAAAGGTGCAATGACACACATCATCCCCATAAAGGAACCCACCAACATTTTGGGAACCCTCTTGTTTGACTTCAAACCCAGAGACAAAATCAACATCAGCTCTGTCCGTTCAGCACAGACAAACAGGAGATGTGTTTGGCCTAGCTTAGCACAAAGACTGGAAGCAGGAGTAAACTGTAAGCCACGCTCTATCAAACTAAAAAAATATTTCCCACACTATTGCACTTTGAGTTTCTGCCTTCTGCACTGAACTCTGACCCAAAGAGGGACAACTGCTACATTTGAAATGCCTGTCAGATGACTGAACTCCTGCTCACTCCCAAAGCTTGCAGCCACTAACGGTGTACAGTCAGGATTCACTCGGCTAACGTCTGGCACACAGTGACCTTCAGACAGAACTAAAGACGGCAACCCCACGCCAATGACTTTACAAAGACAAAGACTTTAGAGATGCTGCTGTGACCAGTGACTGATGTTCATGAATAACTTTAACAGTGTAGTTAAAAGAGAGACCTACCTGTGTTAACAACACAATGTCAGTGAGTGCATAAAAACAACTAAAGCTGCCAGAGCAACAAAACTGACTGAATTCATTTGAAAGCACATTTCCTTTATGTCTTGTCTGTTTTATGACTTACTTAGTATTCAGTTATAGTTAAAACATTGTTTATCATAATGACCATGTCTGTACATATATGATTACGGTCCAAACTGTTAAGTACTATGGAAGCCCTAAGCAGCCATCCATTCAAATATTTTTTCAACTGCATTTTCGCGTGATAACGGGATAATTTTCTCATGATGTCGAGATAACAAAACAGTAGTTTAACAGAGTGGTTTAATGGTAATTTCAGTGTGTATATCAGTGTCACTGGTTAGCTCAGTTGGTAGATCACAGGACTCATACTCTTGGAGTTGTGTGGACTTTTTTTTCTTTTATGCGCCCATAATCACAGAGAGAATTAATGTGTTTCTAATGTGTGGTTTATAATGGACTGAAAGGTTAGGGGGCAGTGGTAGACTGGACAGATGGTTGCAATTCACAACCCCCTTCATCATCAGTTGATGCTCTACGCTCTGTAAATGAAGCTACTATGTGCATGTAGGAAAAAGAGACAGCACACTGAACTATAGCTCCAAACCTTCCAACTGAGTCTTCATCGGGCAAATAGTTAACATGACGTGGAGGGATTTTCCCTCCTCCTACCACTTTTTTCAGTGGGGTCTATTAGATCTTGTAGAGTTTTGCCATCTAATGCTGCATAACCCCCCTTTTAAAATATTTTTATACATCTCTGTGTAATAGTTTGCAATTTCTGTGTTACCATGACTGCGTCATGCACTGACGCACATGATTTTGTTAGCCACTCATGTTAACCATATGCATGATAACCTGGTAGTGTTTGGGAAGTCTATTGTGGTTCAAGAGCTATAATCTAGCGTGTAGATATTCAGCTTTTTTCCTTTATTGGATCTACTTTTCTGTATTTAAAAATATATAGGATTGCATCTGCAAACAACAACCCTCAGTGCTTATTTTGTGTGTGTAAACATAGCCAGAAAAAGATCTTCATTCATTCCAACAGAACCACATGCACACCCGTTGTAACTGCTGCCATTAAAGCAGCCTAGCTTTACCCAGATGGTTTCTGTAGATGTGTGTCTGTAGATTTAGATGCTTGTTACCTTGTATGGTGAGGCTTCAATCCTCTCCCCAAAAAGAACCTGGCCCAGATTCTCTGATGGACGTTTCACTGTTTTCTCGCGGAGCAAAAGTCAAACCTGCACAAAAAGGAGGAGACTATTCAAAGTGTTTGGGGCAGAATAAACTACAACACCTTTACTCCACCATTACACACTGCATTCAGTAACCTGGGCTAAGGGTTTCTCGACTCTTTCCGCCCTGTGAATCTGTTTTTAAACTTCAAAACTGTCATGACTTCAGCAGTAAGGGCTGTGGATATTGTGCTGTATGTTACAGGTGAGTAGTAGAGGCTTTCTGCATACTTTAGTACGGTCAAGCTGTTGAAACTCCAGGACAAAAGGGATTCAATAATACAATTCTACAAAGAAACAATACAGGCACATTTTTCGGTGCTACTTACGCAGTATATTCATATGGCAGAACAGACTCCACTGAATCCAGCCTGTTCACAAACAGCTCGATGATCGTCTGCAAGAAAACAAAGCAGACAGACACGTATTGGAAGACAACAATGATCCAATCAGGCTTTCATTTACATGTTAGAAACAGATCCGTGATTGGTTGGTATCCTGGTTTCCACCTTGACGTGAAGACATTGTTACGACAAACTCGACAGAGGTGTGTGTTTTTCTAGAAACAACGTTCTGGATAGGCAAAGAAATATATGAAATTATCCTAAAGACACACACAGGTTCTCTGAGGTTTTTCGTATTGTGCAGAAATTCAAGACCTTGTGCGGTAGGCATAGAGGAGAGTATCAGAAGAACTTTTCTGAGATGCATAATGAAAAAAATGTGTGTTAGAAACAGGTTCTGAGCAGTTGCCTATGGCACCACGGCACCGAATGATGGACAGGCCATCTGACACTTGGGCAAATGAATCATAATTTATCCACGCTGAGGTTCACGAAGCACGCTCTGACAAGCTGATGATCACGGAGTCATTCAGAGCCTTTCATGATAACGGACAACAGACAAAGATCCTAATGAAAGCTAATGAAACTCTGACATTGTGAGTGCAAAGAAAGCAAGTTCCTAGTATGTAGTTGCATAACTGCATAAAGGTAAGATACATATTACTGTAGCTGTGCTGTGACTGTGCAGATTGTTACTGGTGTTTAGATGAAGCAGCTGTATTACACACTGTGACCATGCCGCGCTTTTATGTTTGAGCAAAGCTGAGAAGTTATTATGTACTGTCGCAGAATATAATGCATACAGACTTGTTTATGATGTACCTTTACTTTACTAGTGGAGCTCAGTCTAACATGTCAAGGCCCGAGTAAGTGGTTAGTCTCAAAAGAGTGGTTGTTGCTATAATAAACACTTTAGGGCTGCAACTAATGATTATTTTCGTTGTTGATTAATTATGTATTTTCTTAATTAAATGGATTTTTTGATTGGTCTAGATACGAGATTTTTTAAGACCAATACAGATTTTGATATTTGAGAATTTTTAAATCCAATATATCGGCCGATCTGTTTTCTTCTTCTTTTCAGAAACACAGAACATAAACAAAGACTATTCCTAACAGTTGTTATGTGTAGTAATGAGACCTCACCAAGATAACATGACATGTTGTAGTTAAAAATAAACTTTTTTATTGTTAGAAATAGTACAGAACAAAAGTACAGCTGATCATGTCAGCTAAAGGCTGTTTTGTGGTGGATTTTCAAAGTTCAAAACAGATGTTACCACAGGGGAGCTCAGAGCCCTATGGCGGACAAACTATTGACAACACTTTGTTTCTTTTTCAATTGTCATTTATTGGCTGTTATAAACACGAATACCAATTTATCTGCAATTAACTCATGTCGACCACTTATCGGTTGGGCTTTAATTTGGTCAATAAAATGGCCAAAATTGTTTGTCCGTGATTCCCAAAGCATAAGATGATGTCCTTAAGTCTTGTTTTGTCCACAATCCAAAGATATTCAGTTTAATGTCACGGAGGAGTACAGCAACCAGAAATATTCACGTTTAAGAGGCTGGAATCATAGAATTTA